ATCGCTGCCTCAACTTACCCCCCAGCACCCCGTGCTCCCTCTGTGCTTTAGCCAGGTCCAGGGCAGGGAGGCCAGCCCCCGCACCCTCCCCGGACGCCAGGCTCTCCGGGACCCCGCGGATCAGGGCGTGGGAGCAGCGGCCCAGCCCCTCCCCCGGCGTCCCCATCCCATCCACACAGTCGCCCCCTCCGGCAGCGCTGACTTCTCAGTTTCCTCTTTTGACTTCAGCTGTCTGGGAGAAGAGACAGAGGGGGTGGAGGGCAGGGGGAGGGAGAGAGAGAGAGAGAGAGAGAGAGAGAGAGAGAGAACGCAGGGAAGGGCGTGGGAAGGTGGTTGAGAACGCGGGGTCTTCCTCCGGCCTCCGGGGCACCCCTCCCTCTCCTCTCCACCTCTTCCAGACCTTCCTCGGCTGCCCACCCAACGCCCGCACCGTGGCGATCTGCTTCTTTAGGGGGAGTCCGAGGACCAAGAGCAGGATCCCGCAATCTCCAAAACACCTGTTGCCCCTGCTCCGGGGCTTCGTGAGGTTCCTAGGGCCCCTCTGGCAGCCGCTAGGATGCGCTCACTCCCCAAAAATGCAGCGGCCCGCCCCCTTAACCCTCCGCTGCTGCGCGCCGTGCAGACCCGAAGTGCGGCGAGGAACCCACTAGGGTTGTGGGGCAGGAGGCAGCTGGGGAGAGAGGGCCTGGGGCATGGAAGTCTAGGGGCCAAATGAGAAAGGGCGAGAGGGGCGAGGAGGAGTTAAATATCGTCTCCACCCAGCGGGGCACTCCGCTCCCAGCGCGACCCAGCCGGAACCAGACCGCGTCCCGGAGGACTGGGAGCGTCCAAACGAAATCCGGGGGGCGGGGAAACGGGGGGCGTGGTTCCGGGCTGCGGGCGCCGCTCCAGGCTCCGGGACCCTTCCCTTCCCTCCCGCTCTACATTCCCCAAAGTCCACCCCATTCAGCTCTGCAACTCAAATGCCGCCCCCGCCCCCCGCACTCTGTCCGCGCAGGCACTGGCCCGGTACCCCGATCCCGGCCCCAACACAGTCCGGGGAGCACCGCCCCCTCCAGACTCACCTCCAGCGCCCACCCCCGCTCCTGCCGCTCTGTGATCTCGGCTGGGGTCCCAACCCCCCCGAGGACAGAGTTGGCGGAGAAGAGCCCCGCTCCTCGAGCCTTGGGGGCTGGAGCTTTGGCTGCGAGAAGTCCCTGGGTAGGCGAGGGCCAGTGCTCCGGTGGGGCAGGGGCTCGGCGGTCTGGCGGCTCCAGG